TCAGGAAGCTAGCTTCCACTCAGTGCAGGTGGAGCCCGCCGACTGGCTACCTTTCATCGCACCTGTATGCGGGGGGCCCACGCAGCTCACACGTCTGTGCTGCAGGAGCCCGGCCCCGCCGCGCCGCCTACACCTGACGGTTCCCGTTTCACCCCTGAAACAATCGTTCTCCGAATCCCACTCTCCCTCCTCGCCAAAAACTGATGGTGGGCGGCCTCCGAGGAGGGCCTGAGTGCCCGCAGAGCGCCGGGGCAAACACACGGAGTCCACACCCAGCCCAGGTGCCAGCTCCCAGGAGAGCACCTCCCTGAGAGTCAAGTGAAGCAGAAAATACATTTTGCAAATGAAATTCAAGAAGGCGGCGCCTACTCACAACAATTCGTAAGGCTGAAACCAATCCAAGGCCAGGCCTGAAATGCCCAAAGATCGAATGGACAGTGCCCTGGGCCTCGGCAGGCACCACACCGTGCCCCACACCCGTCCTGGCCAGCCTGGGGAAGGCTCCTGCCTGCCAGGCTCTGGGGTGCTGCTGTTTCCAGAGCACCCCGATACCTTCTCGTTCGTCCGCTGAGTTGCACTGAATTCACTCGTCATTAGGCGTTTGAGACATGTTCTCCGCACAGCCAGGAGACCTGCCGGCCTCACGGTGGCACCAAGCAGGGGACACGTGCTGGGCCCCTCCTCCTGCCCCGAGCTGCCCAGGCCTCTCTCGCTTTGGCGTGGTCTCTTTCTGTGGCCTTCCCCTCTCTCTGCCACTGCCTTCCCCCTTTCCCAACTAACGCCCCGTTCCGGGTAGTCCCCAAGCTGGGCCCGTCTGCCCCCCATGTCCCTCCCAGCCCCCTCTCCTCCACACACGGGGCATCTGCGCAGAGCCCCCCTCGCCGAGCCTGGGCATCAGCCTCCCCGCTTCCAGGCTGTCCGCCACACAGCTGACTCCCCGCTGCCTCAGACCGCCCTTCTACAGGAGGTCGCACCCCGTCACTCCTGAGGAAAGCCCTCACACCGGGCCCGTGGGAATGAGGCCCAGTTCCTCAGCAGCTGGAAAGCGAGGGCTGCCCAAAGCTTCTGGAAGCCTCTGCAGTTTCCAAAACACGCACCTCCTCATGCGCTGGCATCTCTGCCCCGAGCCCCCAGCGCCAGCCTTTCGCCGTGAGCCCCAACTCCGAGGCCCTGGTCCAACACCGCTGTTCTCTGCGGCCGTCCTCACTGCACTTCTGGGCACTGCAGACACCGCTGCAGCCTGACCTAGCGCGTGAGCTCAGACCAGTTATTTCTAAATCTATCTCCTAGTCAGGGGTTGGAGGGATTCTGGGGGTCGTGCCCTGGCTCAGAGGGCACCAATCCACGTTTGCCAACCGCACGGACGAATGTGCGGTGACACGGTACAGGAAATCTCAACGTTTTCCACATTTTCTCGCACAGAAAACGGTAATGCGTGTATGGCGCCTTGGGTGGTCCATACCACATTTGCTTAAAATATTAATCTCTTAATTTTATAAAGATTAAAATATTAACCTTTTATAAGATATTTTTATAATAACCTTTTATACGATTATAAGAAACATTTAGAGGAGATAGTATATTTGTGTAAAACTTCCAAATAAACAGTTCACATTCTGAAGTGAAAACTTGCGATTGCTTCAACGAACATAACAGGTTTTATGTTTGAAATGGCTGCACATAAGCTCAGGACAGAGGGACAGATGGGATGTCACCATCGAGACATTTTCTTCATGCAAGCAGATAACTTAAAGCTGGATTTTACTGACACACAAATTTTACAATTGAAACATTTAAAGCCTCTAACAACTCTCAGCGACATGCAACATTAAGATTTCTTGTTAGAACCGAGTGAATTTCGAATCAAGTAGAACCTTTCATATCCAGTATTTGAAAGTCACAACCGAGCGTGCCAGGCCAGTGGCGTGTGCCGCCCGGCTGCCGCTGCCCAGCCACGGCCAAGATTCCAGAGACCGCCGGGGGCACAGACCAGAGACAGCTGGGGGGGCTGGGGGGAGCAGCCCTGCCAGCGGAGCGCACCCCCTGGGCGGGATGCCGCTTAGCCCTGAACTCCCGCGCTCGCTTTGAGTTTGTTTGGGTTTTATTTCGGTGAGAGAAACATGAATTGCGAGGCGCGTCCACTCTTATCCAGCACCGAGACCTCGAAAGGCACCAGGGGGCCCTGCCTTGAAGCGTGCACAGAGCAAGGGCAGGCGGCAGGAATGGGCGAGCGGTTGGCGCACAGGGGCTCTGACGCGGGGGCGAGGGGGAGCTCCCGTCCGTTTCCTAGGGCTGCCCCTGGGGGGCCTGAGACGATGGGAAGTTAGTGTCAGGGCTCAGGAGGCCAGAAGTCCGAGGCCAAGGCGTTGGCAAGGCCGGTTCCCTCCGAAGGCGCCAGGGAACAGCCCGGTCCCCGCCCTTCTCGGCCTCTGGGCTTGCGGGCACCCGTTGGTGTTTCTTGGCTAATCGGCCTCTGTCGACACATGGCTTTCTTCCTGTGCGTCTGCGTCTGCATCTTCTTCCCTGTGTGTGGACGTCTCCCCTCTGAGGACACCAGCCCACGCTACTCCAGCAGGGCTGCGACTTTACCAGGGGCATCTGCGAGCACTGTATTCCAGATAAAGTCCCGTCCTGAGGATCCGGGAAGGGGGGCGG